TAAAGTGAAAGAATATTTATGAGTGCAATGTGCACACACTGTAGGTTCTTTTGTTTTCCCTTTTTCAATTTCTACAAGAGTAAAAGCACAGACGTAACATTTGAAATAAGCCTCGCACATTTATGCAATTAACTGTGATACTCTAATTACCATTCCTGGTATTGTAATTAGTTGATCTACATCAGGATTTAATTCCCTCATAGTTTTAGTCTTAGCCACATTAAACGGTCGCACTTGAATTTGATGCTCATATTACATATTACACGTAATGCTTTCCTGATATGATGTAACATTATAATAATGATATAATGTTTTCTTTTATTGTCCGTGTAATACAGAGAGAACAAAATCGTAAGGCAACAGGTTAAACAAAAATCTTGAAAAACAATTATGAGAAATTTCAAAACAGAAGGAGTGCAACGCACTTCGAATATCTAACTGATTAATCTGCTTCAAATATATCACATCAAAGAAAGCGAATCGCATGATGTAATTAATTAGTCATTTATATAAAAAATAAAACATACATTTTTTCGTAGGATTACGTAATTATCTAATAAAATATCATGGAATATATTTTTTTCCAAAATACAATATGTATACGGAGTTTCAACCTATATTTGATGAATCAGCTTTATAGACATAGGGAACATTGAATTTAATTTTGATTCTAAATTATTGCTTATTTAACTGCTTATTGTTTCAATTTTTTTTTCTACGGTATTTTTTCTATATATATATATATATATTATGTATAATAAAATTCTGTATATAAACATCATTATATTAGAATGAATCATATAATGAGGCTATACAGGCTACCATTTCATAGATTACAAATTACAGATGTAAAAATTATGATTCTATATAAATAATTTAAAATACAAGATAACATTTTTTTTATGTACACGTACTTATATACACGAAGGTAAACTTGAGACTACACTCAGGAATAAAGATAGTTTGGGTACATCATAAAAATCCTGTAATATCTTTCATTTACTTAGTCAACAGAAGCTTATCTCATACCAGCAGTTTAAATGGTGCAATTGACCTTGAATAATTAATAATACTTCTAGTATATTTTAAAGTGTCTGCTTATAGTAGACATTCATGTAAAGTGACTAGTACATTTTATATATATGTACAAATAAATAATATTACTGAAATATTTGCCTTATTTGCTGTTATATAAAAAAAATTTATCACAAAGTTACATTACTCCAAAAGGCATACAACAAGATCATTTTTTTAATGAGGTTTCAGCAGTATATTTTTAAATAAACTCGTAATCTATCAATTAATACGTTTATTAAATTCTTTATATAAAATTTGATTGATTCCATTTAAAAACGGAATACACTACCCTTAAATTTTTTATTTACTATGTTCTCTATTGAAACTTATTTTTATTACAGTTGGTACAAATCACTGAATATTATAAAATTATATTAATAAAATTTAAATGTATATTTTAATAATAAAAAAACAATCTTAAATTTTTTGTTTAAAAATGTTTAATTTTAATTGTTTATTACAAATATATTTTACATTGCCTTTCTTGAAATAATTTTGAACTAATGTATCATAAACAATAATAATACTTAGGAGCCATTTAATTCTTTTTGAATGTCTTCTAAAGATTTCCCTTTTGTTTCAGGAACTAAGAAGTATACAAAAAATATTCCAATAACACAGACTACAGCAAATAACCAAAATGTAGGACCAATACCAATTGCATTTGAAAGATCACTGAAAAATTTAGTAACAATAAAAACTAATACCCAATTTAAAAAACAAGCACTACTTGCAGCTACACCCTTAACTTCTGCTGCGAAAAGTTCACCCATCATCATCCATGGAAGTGGACCAAAACCCATATTAAACATAATAATAAAAATACATAAAGATGTCGGAGGTAGCCATGTAATAGAATTTACGTCAATGTCATTATCCAATAGATAAAAATAAATTCCAAGTACAAAAGTTGTTAAACCTAAACATATTATAGATGCTAATAGCAGTATTCTTCTGCCTACACGATCTACAGTTAATGTGCTTACAAAAACAGCTAATATTT